ATTGAGCCTCTTGAACTATCTGATAAATCTCTTTTAGTTTAGGGTTAATTTCTTTTCCTACCGCAAAAGTTCGAGTAAAATCTGAGCAATAGCCTTGATATTTACCACCAAAGTCCACCGTAATTAATTCGCCTTCTTTGATAATTTTATCGCTCGGTTGACCATGAGGCAAAGCGCCATTTTTTCCAGAAACTACAATGGTGTCAAAAGCAAGTCCATCGGCTCCGAACTCCTCAAAAAAATTACGGATTAGTTTAGCCAAATCCTTTTCTTTCATTCCTACTTGGACAGTTTTTAAAAGTTTTTGATAGACTTGGTCAGTAATTTGAGCTACCCGACGCATTCTTTTAATTTCTTTTTCAGACTTTATCATCCGCAAATTACTGGTTTCTATTCCTATTCAATCAATTTCCGAAGTTTCCTTTTGTCATTTTTCTAATTGAGCCACGGTTATAAATTCTTTCTCAAATCCTAGCCTTTGAATCTTTTTTTCCTGCAAGAAACTTTTTATATTGGCTCAACTTTTTCACAATTTAACCTCCACTTGCTTGTCGTAGATACTTTTCTGAGCATTAGTAATATAACGACCATCCACAAAAAGGTACTTTTCTGACTTAATGACAAATAAAAATCCTAAACTAGATTGAAAATCAGTCAGTCAAAAACGATTTTCAGGGGAAAAGAAAAGCATGGCATCTAACTTGCTATTTTTGGTGATTACTTCGATAGACATATAATATAAAATTTAATAATTCAAGCCTTAAACTTCAATTATCAAGGGGTAGAGACTACTCCCTTTTGTTTATTACCGGCGACGCCCTAATTGGAACACTAATTCGAAAGCACCCAAGAGGAATGGGAGAAACAATAAGAGAATTATTAATCCTACCATCCTCCCATTGCCCCACGTTTTTTTTATTTTAAACTTTTTAAAAGCTCAATTATTAAACTAAACCCAGCCGCAAAAGGAAACTTTTTTGCGGCTAAAAATTAATTTAGTTATTGAAACTAGATATTATAAACCTCTTTTCTTTCACCATTCATCACTTTTAAACTCCGAAGGGATATCAGACCTATTTTTTCATTCCATGATATCAGTTTCTATGTTGTATTCTTTTTCCAATGTATCAAACCATTCATTCCTTAACCTCTTTGGCAACTTTTTTCCACATCAAGGACAGAATCAAATGAGAATAATAACACTTTTAGTACCGGGTCTTTCCAAATAAAATTCACGAAACGAACTACTATACCCAATGCAAGTATCTCTCTCTGCTAATCTTGAAGTCAAGTAATCGCAACAAAGTTTTTCCTCACTCATTACAACAAATATTCTATTGAATTCGTAGAATCAGAACCTTTATACATTTTTCCTGTTCTCGGATCCATTGAACCTAAATGCCTACCTCTCCTATCATAAACTTCAATGTCATTATGAGTATTATCCCATCTGTAAAACCTTTTGTCATCCCCTGACTTTCCATTGGTCTTAATATCACCACGATAATGCCGCATTCCCTTTCAAACTGGACTTCTACTCTTAGAACAATTTACAACCCTTTCCCTTCTATCTCTTTCCTCGCCTGAGGAATAATCATTATCATTTATCCATTGCTGTATATAAACCTTGGACTGTTCCGTAAGCAACTCCTTTTCATGATATTTAGCAGTGCGTTTTAACTCGTAAAGGGAATAAGTAGAGCCCTTGTCACTATACCCTATTTGAAGTAAATAATTTCTTTGCTCGCCTGTAAGTCCATTACATCATCAATCTCAAATTGTTTTCCTCTCCAAAGTAAAAGAGGAAGAAGAATTTTGAGAATCTCCAGAACCATTTGTCAGAGCAGCAAGTGCCCCCGCCCCTAAACCTAAACCGAGAACAAGGCATTGAGCTTCTAAATGATTTCGCACATGATACACCTGAAAAGCATCTTGGGCAACCCTAGCACCCAATGCCGCAACAGCAGGAACACCCACGCCACCAGTCGCTACAGTTACTACTCCTCCAACCACTGTCACCGTTACCCCTGCTACTATAGCAGCCGTAGTTGACTGCTCATTACCCGGACCAAACTGGGAACCATGCAATACTCTATCTTGGTATTCTGCTTCAGTAATAACTTCGACTTCTTCATTTGGCTCATAACTCTTCATAAACTCCTCATAACTAGGAACTTCATATTTGTCTTTTAATTCTTGAACCGTCTCTGTTTTTTTGTAATTTTCTTTTATTAAATATGGATTTTGTTTTGGCATATTTTTATAAATTATTTAAATTATTCTTATTTTTTTTATATTCTTTTGCTAACTTTTACATAGTTAGCGAACTGTTTTTTAAAAGTCGTTTATTTGTAATTGCTGACTTTAAGCCTTAATTTCCCTTAAACTTTCCGCCCAAATTGGGCGTTATGTTCTCTTCCTTTCAGATTGCCGTGATAGTTCTTTTGGTGAAATTGATATGTTGGGTTGTCTCATATAATTTTTAATATTATTTTACAAACTTTTACTCTCAACTTTGTTATTGTTATATTTTTTTACCTTATTTAAAAAAATTACTTTTCTGTTTTGGTGAACTTTCTATTGGAGTAGTAAATAAGCATTAATATCAGAATTAAAAACACGAATAGGGTGGCAAACCAAGCGTGATAAAAATATTTATCTCAAAAAAACTCTTTCGGTTTAGCAGTTTCCACATTAATACAATCTAGTCGGGAAAAAAGAGGGTTAGACAACTGACCAGTATCGCAGGTAGAACTAGTAGCAATTAAAATAAATTGCGATAAATTAATAGTTTCTCCTTGAATAGTCAAGGAGGCATTTTGAGCGGGGTCGAAAACCGCCAACAAGGATTTTTGGAGCGGAGATTTATTCACAATTTTATCAATGTTTTTAAACCAAAGGACTGGAAAATTTTCCTGCTGAATTAGTTGCTGGTTGGTGGTAGAACCAGCCATTTCTTTAATTTTCTTTTCCACCGCTTCTTTTTTCCGATTACTTTTGAGAGCAAAATCGATAATATTATTTTCCAATATTTTGCTATTTTTGGCTAATTCTTGTTGGTAATCCTCACCGGCAAAAAAGGCGGGTCAAGAAAAAAGTTTAATCTCCTTTGGTTTGGCTTTTTTAGCTTTTCTTATTTCAGTTTTACCATCAATGGTTTTTCTTATTTGTTCGGTAATGCTATTCATATTTATTTGTTATTATTGTTTATTGCTTTCATCAACTTCATTTTTAATTATAAATCGCTTGAAAATTCAACTGGCAAAGAGGACAAAATTAAGTCCTAGGAAAATAAAAAGGCAATAATGCTTTCAAGTGGCCTTAAATTCCTCTTGGTAAGGAAAGACGTTTTTTTTTACTCATTCGGAAGGGTTTTCCATGACAGTAAATTTTTCTCCTTTATTTTTGGTATAAATATATTCCTGTTCTATTTTGTATAAAACTCTTTCGGCCTGTCTTATTCCCACTTCTTTAATTCGTTGCAGTATTTCGGTAATAATTGCTTCGGTAATGATACCACCTTTTTTTTCTGGATACTTTTCGTTAATTGTTCCCGCTTTCATTTTTAAGATGGCTTTTTTTTCTTTAGCAGTGAAATCCTTTAACTCGGTTATCTCAATACTGTTTTTTAGGTTTATGTCTAAATCATCAATATAATTTATGGTAGCAAAAAAAGTAACATGACTTAAATCTATTTCAGTCTGATAGTATTTATCAGTGAATTTTTTTCCTTTTTGGTAGTCTTTGAAAAGTTGAATTAAATGCTGTTGGATTTGTTTATCTTCGGCTTTCTCTAATTCATCAAGGAGGATAACCGGATTTTTTGAACCCCATTTTTTAATTACTCAGGCTACTAGGCTAGGTTTTTTATCATCTCCTAAAATAGAATATTCTTTGGATTCTTTGAAACCAGCCAGTGAAATTGGTTCAAAATCCCGACCCATGGCATTAGCCAAGTTATTTACAAAAGTAGTTTTTCCCATGCCGGGAGCACTGGAATAGCAAATTACTTTCCTCTCGGGTCAAAATCGTCCTTGGGTTAAAGCATAAACTTTCATGTGACCAATAAAAGTTTTTTTTTGGTCTTCGAAACCAATGTGCTTTTCTAACTCTTTATTAGCCTTCTCAATATCACTCGATAATTTTACGGGCTTACTGAGAGCCTCAGTTAATTTTTTTTTTTCTTGTTGGAAGTCGTTCATAAGTTAATTATTATTATATTATATTACATTATTAATTATTATTATTATTAAATTATTATTTAAATTTATCTAGTAACAAAGTTATCAATATTTTAACCACTACCACGGTCAATGAAAAGTGGTAAGAGAGCTATTGAAATTAAACAGATGAAGAAAATTATCGTTCATAAGACCCAAGTCTTTTTCATATATTCCTTATACGAGGATTTAGTGGTTGTTAAGGACATTTGTAGCACTCCATTGAAGGGCGAAATTCCTTCGGCTAGCATTCGTGCCGTGTGAATAACTGTGAGGCTGTATGCCACCGTGGCGGTGGAAAGGCTTTTGAGGGTCGGAGCCATCACCGGGAGAAGTGCAGTTCGCACATCGATCGAAAGGAATATCAAAAAGAAAAAGACCACGAAAAGCACCGGAAGCACAAAAAAACGGGCATAAGGGTTAGAGGCAAACAAGAAGGCCGGAGTAATTTTTAGTTTCATTTTGCCTATCAAGATTGCCACCGTATGGGAAAAAATGTAAACGAGAATAATCGGGGCAGTTTTGGTGACGGTGGTAATGAGAGTCTTAATAATATTTAATTTAGCAACTAAACAAATTATTATTCCCCCAATCGTAAATCAGTAGATAACTTGCGGAGTGTCTCACTCCCCGAATTTTTTTCAGGCGGAGGTTTTGGTTTCCACTTTTTGGGCAAGTTCCATTTCATTTTCATTTACTTCATCCTTTTTTTTAGGTGAGACATCATCCGTAACCTTAACCTTTCCTAAATCCTTGTAATTCGTTTCCGTTTCAGTATTACATATTTGTTCTGGAACGTTGTCAGTCCACTTTCCAGTTTTTTCAGCAATTCCTCCAAAAGTTCCCAAAATGCTGACCACAATAAAGAAAAAACTGAGAAAGAGAATAAGTTTCCTTCTTCAATTAAAGGAAGGGATTTTTTCTGGTTTGGCTTGGTTTTTGGTAGATAAAGCAACTGATTTCTTTTGAACTTTATTGCAATATCAAATATTAAAAAAGACTAAAATCGTGGTCAGAATTACCCAGATCATCACCGAAAATAAAAAACCTTCTGAACCGTTGAAGTTGGTCTTAGCTTTCGGGTTAATATAGTTTTTAAAATAAACTTGGCGTTTACTATTAGCCATGGTGCCAATAATTCCTACTGCCGAGCCACCATAAAGACAGAGCAGGGAGGAAAAAGTGTCAAATCCCATGCTTAAAAAAAAAGGAATTATTAAGGGGTAAAAATGAACAAATTCATCCATTCATCACAGAGTGGAAGCCAAAAGAGAAACGGTAATGGTGATAATGGCCACTGCCGCCAGTTTTCTTTTTTGTAATCATTTCCGTTTAGAAGCGAATAAGGCTTGAACACTTTTACTCTGCAAAAGAGCATAAAGTAGGAAAGCCATGGCAATAATAGAGAGCGCGTTTCCCTTCCTCACATCCAGAATTTCGAAGGCTGATTCCCAGATGGAGGGGATAAGATTAGTGAATCCAATTTTATTGGTAGCGATCGGAGTTCACGAAATGCCTATTAATGCGGCAAATACTATTAGATAGACGAGAAAAATCATATGAAAATTAGATTATTAAATTAAAAAATGGTAGTATATTTAGATTATTAAGCTTAATTTTTCGCTTTTTATGGTTTAATTTTTAAGATATTAAAAAACCAGCGAATAAATTTTATAAAGGTTAAAATGTCAGTCTCTTTTGGTAATAAACTTCACTAAACACTGAGGTTTAAACAAGTCTTAAACCAACAATGACTATTGATAAAGTAATATTATATATTATAAAAATTTTTAATGTCTGTTGCCCGCAAGGGCTTCAAAGTTTTGAAAGAATAATTTAACTTTGACCAGACATTCGCCAAAATTAGAGACAAAAATTCCCCTCTTATTACAAAAGAATTAATTATTGGTTCTGATTTTGAGAAAATATTTTGGTAATTCATACTTAATTTATATTTTATTTTTGTATTTACTATTCTTTAATTTTATTTTATATTATTTTAGAGTGGAGAACAATTCAATTAAAGTTCTTATCATAACCCCCGTTCCCCGTTTGGCCTTAGTTTTCCAAGCGGTTCCGGCAATATCACAATGAATAAAAGGCAATTTTTCTACAAATTCTTGTAAAAAAGCAGCTCCGTTGGAAGCTCCCATATAGCGGGTGCTACTGATATTACTAAGGTCAGCAATCGTAGTGTTTTCCTTTAAATTTTTAGCATTTTCGGGTAAAAGTGGCAATTCTCAAATTCTTTCTTGGGATTTTTGACTAGCTTGGGAAAATTGCTGGTAAAAATCATGATTATTAGTCATAATTCCGGTTGTGTTTTCTCCTAGAGCTAGGACGCAAGCTCCGGTTAGAGTAGCCACGGTGATTATTTTAGTGGCTTTTTCCTTTTGGATAGCGTAAGTAATTCCATCTGCTAAAACTAAACGACCTTCGGCATCAGTATTATTAATTTCTACCGTTTTACCACTCATGGAAGTTACTACTGATTCGGTAAGAGTAGCGTGTCCACCAATCGCGTTTTCGGTTAAACAAGCCACTGCTACTACATTTATTTTTGGCTTTTTTTGAATTAGAGCCAGAAAAGAAGCACAGACCACGGCAGCTCCCGACATGTCAAACTTCATACACTGTAAATATTGCGAAGGTTTTAAATCATAACCGCCGCTGTCAAAAGTTATCCCTTTGCCGACTAACCCCAGCACATTTTTTTTATTTTTTTGGTCGCCCAAGTAGCGCAAAATAACTACTCTTGGCTCATGGTGGCTACCTGCGTTGACCGCTAATAATAAACCCATTTTATTTTTTTCAATTTGTTTTTTATCCAAAACTTCTACTTCAATATTTTTTGACTGGTGAAATTTACTTTTAATTCCCTCCGCAAACTCCTTGGCATGTAATTTGTTAGGTGGTGTATCCTGCAAATCACGAGCTCAATTAACCGCGGTCATTTTAGTTAAAGAATTATCCAAAATTGCCGGTGCTTTTTTGTTTTTAGTTAGCAAATAATAATCGCCACTCTTTTTTTTATCTTCTTTTTGCTTAAACTTTATTGATTGATGGCTGCCAAACAATATCCCTTCGCTGATGGCTTGAATTAATTCTTCTTCACCTAAGTTTTTTGAGACAAAGGATTGAAGATCAATGTTTCAACTTCTTTCGCTGTTACTAGAAAAATTGGCAAAATAATTATGAAAACTGTGAAAATTATAATCTTCACTGTCTTTGTTAACATACAAATAGCAAGTTTTTTCTTCGGAAATTAAAGTAGTTTTTCACTCTTTTTTTTCAATTAAGGAATGAATTTTATCTTTGCTGGTAATTGCCCGGAGGGTTAGTAAGTTAATTTTAGGTTCTTTTTGGATAAATAATGTGACCATATGCAATTTGAAATTATTTAATTTATATTTTATACAGTTTTGTAGTTGAGTCTAGTTTTTTTAACTGCTTTTTTTCCTTGACTAATGGTTAATTTGTACTTTAGAAGTTAGTCGTTTTTTGATCGGAAAGATATCTTTTTTTCTTTTTTTTCCGGTAATTATTTTTCAAACTTCTTCATAATTTTCTACCACAATAATTTTTAGCTTTTTGGAGTTTTTTGCGGCTGATTCTTCGGGAATTTCTTTAATTTCCTTCGGGATATCTTCGATGTCTCTCTCATTTTCTTTTGGAATTACAATGGTTTTTAATTCACTCCGATGAGCCGCAATCGCTTTTTCTTTTAAGCCACCGATTTTTTTAACTTTACCATGTAGAGTAATTTCGCCGGTCATTCCTAAATCAGGAGAGATAGCTTGCTTAGTTAGAGCGGAAAGAAGAGCTGAAGTTAAAGCAATTCCAGCACTAGGTCCCTCTTTGGGAGTAGCTCCTTCTGGAACATGAATATGAATGCCATACTGCGAAAAAAAATCAGCATTAATCCCAAATTTCTGCTGGTTAGATTTGATGTAATTAACTGCCACTTGAGCCGACTCTTTCATAATATCCCCTAAATTACCCGTTACTTCTAATTCTCCTTCTTTTTTAGGGTAATAAGATACTTCGATTGGCAAAATATCTCCTCCGTTTTCAGTTCACGCTAAGCCGGTCGCTACACCAACTTGAGCACTTTTTTCTTTTTCGGTAAATTCGTGTTTTCTTTTCCCTAAGTAATCTTTTAAGTTCTCGGAACTGATCACTAATTTTTCTTTCTCTTTTTTAATAAATTGTTCGCTAAACTTTTTAATAATGGTTTGAATTTCCATATTTAGTTTACGTACTCCCGCCTCCCAAGTATAATACTTAATCATATCCATAACAGCTTGGTCTTGAAAAATGATTTCGCCCTTTTGTAAATTAAATTTCTTTAAATTGTTAGGAATCAAGTATTTTTGAGCAATTTGGAATTTTTCTAATTCAGTATAGGAAGAAAGGGGAATGATTTTCATCCGATTCAAAAGCGGTCGCGGTAGATCTAAACTATTAGCAGTGCAGATAAACATAATTTGGGAAAGATCGATTGGAACTTCTAAATAATGGTCAACAAATTTCTTATTTCGACCACTATCCAATACTGCCAATAAGGCATCTAGGAGACTACCCCGATGACTATCATGGGTCACTTTGTCAACTTCATCAATTAAAATTACCGGATTAACTACACCTTCTTCTTTTAAAATTTGTACTAAACGCCCTGGCATAGATCCTACATAAGTACGTCGAAAACCTTGAATTAAATTTACATCATAGGCTCCTCCTAAAGAAATTTCGCCAAACTTTCGCCCCATAGCTTCAGCTACTGAAAGTGCAAACGAACTTTTACCAACCCCCGCCGGACCGGTTAAAAGCAAAATCTCTCCTAAAGGTTTGTCAGCTTGTTGTTGAGCTGCTAAATGCCAAACAATTTCGTCTTTCGCTTTAGTTAAGTTATAATGTTTTTCATCTAATTTCTGCCGAACTAGATTTAAATCATTAGTTTCCTTACTTCTTTGTCACCAAGGCAAGTTAACTAACCAATCGACATATTGTATAACAATGTAAGCTTCATTTGAACTAGGGTGCATTTTTTCATAGCGTTTGGCTTCCTTGTAAGCAGCTTTTTTTACATATTCGGGATAAGGATCTTTCCCTAATCGTTCCAAATATTCACTCATTTCGCTACTTCCGTGCCCTTCTTTTCCCCTCAGTTTTCTTTCAATAGCCTTTAATTTTTCTCGCAAGTATCATTCCTCCTGCTGGTCTTTAATTGCTGCCCTCGTTTTATCCTCAATTTCCTTGTCAATTTTTTGTCGGTCTGGGATGTTGATTAAAATTTCTAACCGCTCTTGAGCATCCAATGAAGCCAATATTTTTCATTTCGTTAAATGGTTGATTTCTCGGCTGTTTTGAGCAATAAAATCGATAAGGTTGCTAACATTACCTCGCATCATCGTCATATAAGGCAACTTCTCGACCGAACTTAATTTGGACTTTTCTAAAATATCTGGAAGATGACGAACAAATTTTTCAGTTAATTTATCAAGTGATTCTTCATCTAATTCTTTTTCCAGTAGAATTTGATATTTTCCATATCATATTTCCCCTTTCTTTTCAAGATTAGTTATTTTTATTCTCTCCAAACCTCGCAATTGAATTTCTTTGAGAGAATTGATAACTAACTCTGGATCAGCCTCAGTTGAAATGTCTAAACTAATTTTGGCTAAAGTCCCAACCGGAACGAATTTTTCAGAATTGTCAGTAAATTTTTCCTTGTTAGGAATAACCAACAATTGTCCCCCACAATCTTTTCAAACTTGCAAAAGAAACTTCTTCCGGTAAGCATTGTTTTCTCCGCTGCCCTCTAATAGAAGGTAATTATCACACCCCGGAAATAGGAAAAAGTTATCTAACAATAAAATAGGAAGTTCATTCATAGTGTTTTTAATTTTACTTATATTTTTTTATACTATACTATTATTTTTAATTTATGATTTTACTGGCGCCCATGAAGAGAATCGAACTCCTGACCTAACGCTTAGAAGGCGTTTGCTCTGTTCCCCTGAGCTACATGGGCCCATTAATTATTTTTGGTATAAGCCTATGGCTAGTTGTTTTTTACAAATTCTAAAATCTTTTTGGCATTAGCAAAAGGAGAAGTATAAGTGCTATCAACTTGAAAATCGTACTGTCAAGTTAAATCTTTCATTCTAATATGTTGAGCACGAGCAAGACCCAAAGAGCGGTCGCCCCGTAACATTTCTCTTTCTTCCATGAGGGATAATTCACATTCCACCTTCACAAAATAAATTTTATGAGATTTTAGAGCCACAAGATACTTTTCTAAATCTTCCCTTTCTCAAATTACTTCATCGATAATAACATTATGACCATCATCAACTAATTGCTTAATTATTTTAGGAACTGAACTACTAATCAGTTTACCGTAAGACCCAGTTTTAACTTCAGTAATCGAAAATCCTTGTTTATCGAAACTGGATACGAATTGAAAACCTAACTTGGCTTGCTTGCCAAAACCAAAATACTTGTCAGGCATGGCTTCTAAAATTGCATCGATACCAAAAGTTAATCATGGTTCTTCGCTCAAATGTTGAATGGCTTTGACTAATGAGGTTTTTCCTGCTGAGGAACAACCATTCAAAAAAATAATTTTTATCAAATTAAAAATAATAAATAATGTTTTGGAATGAGGCCAACCCCTTGCACCGGCTGACCTTTACTTCCTAAAAAGTACTGGCAATGAGCTATCTTCCCCGTAAAGAGTATTTTCGCCACGAAAGTGTTTGACTTCTGTATTCGGAATGGGAACAGGTACTATTTATTCACTTTGTTATGGTCACCAGTACAATTTATTTTGATTTAGAGAGTAAAATTCTCTCAAAACCGAACGCAAAATTGAAAATACCAAAAATAAGTCCTCGATAAATTAGTATGGCTTAACTTAATACATTGCTGCACTTACATTTGCCACCTATCAACCTCCTGGTCTTGAAGGTACCTTACTCCCTTACGGGATGGGAAATCTTATCTTGAAGTTAGTTTCGCACTTATATGCTTTCAGTGCTTATCTATTCCCGACATAGTTATCCAGCCATGCCATTGACATGACAACTGGTGAACCATTGGTCAGTCCACTCTGGTCCTTGCGTACTAAGAGCAGATCTTCGCAAATTTCCTACGCCCACAACAGATAGGGACCAAACTGTCTCACGACGTTCTAAACCCAACTCACGTACCGCTATTAATGGGCGAACAGCCCAACCCTTGGAAGCTTCTTCACCTCCAGGATGCGATGAGTCGACATCGAGGTGCCAAACA